CCTGTAATAGTGTGGCATGTCTCATTAAGAGCCACATCCACTGTTTTAACATGGTGAGATGCATTCCATACTGGGCATGCATATTTAGCAGCAGAGTAGTATAGTGCAAAGGTAGATATCTTCACTGTGTCTGGTTGTGATCCCCCATTTGTGCCAGTCAGCTTTCGTATGATATTGTTTCTAGCGCCCGCTTTTTGCTTGATAGTCAAGCAGTGCTTCTTGTAGGTTGGAGCATGGTCCAGAGTGACTTCCAGGTATTTTGGTGTGCGGCAATGCTCCAGTGGGATTCCTTCCCAGGTGTTTTTTTTATGTCGTGTCAGGAGCGACTTGAGAAACTGCAAGTCACTTCTGGTGTGAGAGAATTGGCTGTCTGCAAGGACGTTGCCCAGGGGATGCCCTGATGATTTGATGTTTTTTTATCATCCTTGTGGGAGGCTTCTCTCATGTCCCCATATGAGGAGCTGGAGCTGCTAGAGGGAGCTCATCCACCTCTCCCCAGATTCAAACCCGCGACCTGTCGGTCTTGAGTCCTGCCGGCACAGGGGTTTAACCCACTGCGCCACCGGGGGCTCACCCACCCAGGTAATCTTCAGTGTTCGAGATGCTTGTCTGTTCTTAAGATGAAAAGCACATGTCTGTGTTTTAGATGGATTAGAAATCAGCTGGTTTTCCTTGTAATAGGCAGTAAGAGCACCTAAAACTTTGGAGAGCTTCTGTTCAATTATTTCAAAGCTCCCTGCTTGAGCGGTGATGGCACAGTCGTCAGCATAGATGAAACTCTCTGTCCCTTTGGGGGACATGAGAGAAGCCTCCCCGCAAGATAGTAACACATTTGAGGATTCCCTGGGCAATGTCTCTGTAGACAGCTGATTCTGTCACAACAGAAGCGACTTGCAGTTTGCAACCAACCAACCAAAGTGGTGTTAAACTGCCTTAATTCTACAGTGTAGATATATCCCTTGTCTCTGGCTTTGTCTGCACATACTGGTTTAAAGGGTTCAGGAGGATTTCTCTAAATAGAAAGATATGGGCTTTGGATCCTTTTTAAAAAGAAAAAAATGAATACAGAGACAAAACTGTGAAAGTCTTGTTGCTTTTTTTCTCTGAAGGGGATTTCCTGACCAACAGCAGGACTCATTTTTGAACAGAAAACATATAATATAGAACATTCTTTCTGTCCTTTGTTTGGAGAGCCACCCACTGCCTAGCAGTAAAGCATTCCAATATTCAGTGCTAAAATACAACCAAAGAAAACTATCTTAAAATAGATGATTGTATGAAAATCCACTAAAAACCTTGGGAAATTGTACAGTGGGCTGTATTTGTGTGTTTTTAACAAATTGGCTTCTAAAGGTCAGCAGAATAGATCTCGGATGTATGAACTGAAGACTAAAAACCATTAATTAGTTGATAGGTCTGCTGTTCTGTGACCTAGAACCCAAGAGCAAATAATTAATTGGTACTTGATCCTATATATTTAAGGGTTTGTGTATCTTTAGGACCAGCAAGAGAAAACAGCAGAGAGATTCAATAAAGAGGGCACTTAAGATGAGGTTACAAGCTCAAATTATTCACATCTTGAGCTGCCAGATCTGGCCCTAAGTTTCCGCTTTTTATGGATCATCTAATTCTGTTCTAATTCTGTAGTTTTAATGGGTTCAGCTCCAGGTAAAAACATAGGGCTTGGGTGCAGATCTCTAATTCACTCTGAACCGTATTTTGCTACAAGTGAAAATTAATTGGTTGCAAATGCTCACTAGTCTAGAGTGATTCATAGATTTACTCGGATTCTGCTTTCTGTGGCTCCGTTCTCTCTTTCCAGATCTAATGCCAGGGCTTGCCCTCCATGCTGCTCTGCAGTCACCTTCATCCTAAAAGCAAGTAGGCTAGATTACATGATTCTTATCCCATGTCCTGCAAAGTTTATATGCTTTATACAGTCTTTAATGGCATGACCAGGGGTTTGTCTCAGGTTTTGTCTCTTGAAAAATCAGGGACTGGGATGATCTTGAGCAGGCACGTCTCTTCATAGCTGAGGCTGGATCTACACTGCCATATAATCCAGTTTCAAAATGCAGATTACCTACTTTAAACTTGATTATGTGAGTCTATACTGCCATATAATCCAGTTCAATGCAGTTAAAATGCATTCAGAAACTGGATTATATGGCAGTTTATGTTGCATAAAATAAACCATGTGTAGTTGAGGTTTGAACAGCCCACACACTGCCTTGCCAGAGAAAGAAAATATGCCACACAGGTGAACAGTAAAAAACAAGTAGTTTACTCTTCTTAATTCAGAACAACATATATACAGTGTGATCAGTTGCATCAATTCACATAAAGTCCTTTTATGAGAGATTTAAAAATGGTCTTTCTTTTGTCCATGTGGATAAATTGCATCAGCAGTTCATGAAGCAAGAGCACACCTCAAAATCTGTCTTTCTATGCTTCTGTCTTCTTCTCTTTCTGTGCAGTTGCATAGCTCAAGCCTGAACAAAATGTAACAGTATCCAAAAGTCCCAGGCTCAGCCATCTCCCTGGGCATTGCCTGACCAATCAGCTTCATGCATCTTATTTTACAGTTCACACACACACACAAGGAATCTCCAATACTTGAGTATATGTGGTTCAGTCACTACTGCTTAGCTTAGCCATTCACGTCCAAAATGGAAGTTGTAGTGGTATATCTCAGTATTCAATGAAAGATAAGGACACAAGAGTAGATGCACATGCAGCCTTTTTGAAAAAGGAGATATTATTTACTTACATACTTCCTAAATCCACAGAATCCTAAAGTTGGAATAGATGTAAAAGATTATCTAATTTACCCTCTGCCCGTTTAGAAGATTAGTGATGGTAGTCCAAAATCTTCCAAGGCAGTCTGTTCTACTTTCAGGCAGTTTGTAGCACTCGGAAGTTACTATTTCTTCTTTAATGTACTTTCTCCTAAAATGGGCTAGTTCTACAGCAAAATGCTCCTGGGGGTGATATGCAATTAAACACAACAAAATCTATAGGAGTCAAATAATAAAAACAGTTCAAAACAATCAATGAAAACCACGATCAATTAAAAGCAGCAAATGCCAAAGCAAGTATCACAGTGAAAATGTAATGCTCTTTCTCATGTATATGCTGCTTGTTGTTTCAATAGTCCTTCAAGGGTGACTTATGGCCTGGTATGTGGTTGTTTTTTTTTAATGCAATCATGAAAAAAGACTGTGTTGAAACAAGCAAATAAGCGCAAAGCTAAAACCAACAAAGTCCTGGCTCAAGAAGCCTTTGTATTCAAGATGTTGGAGAGACCAGAAGCCAGCTTATTAAATCCAAGGCTGATTGAAAGAATGACTGACTGTATCTGATCAAAAGCCATCTTGGTCACTTCGCAAAATGCCTTTAGAAGTTTACTAGTAAAGCATGAAAACAACAACTTCCCTTGTTCTCTCCCGCCAGGCTCTAAGTCCGCATTCTCAACCTGGGGGTCATGAGGGGCGTGTGAGAGGGGTCACCAAAGACCATCAGAAAACAGTATTTTCCGTTGTTCATGGGGGTTCTGTGTGGGAAATTTGGCCCTATTCTATTGTTGGTGGGGGTCAGAATGCTCTTTGATTGTAAGTGGACTGTAAATCTCAGAAACTACAACTCCCAGATGTCAATGTCTATTTTCCCCAAACTCCACTAGTGTTCACATTTGGGCATGTTGAGTATTCTTGCCAAGTTTGGTCCAGATTGATCATTGTTTGAGTCCACAGTGCTCTCTGGATGTAGGTGAACTACAACTCCAAAACTCAAGGTCAATGCTGGGAAGTAGTTAGTTACAAGTAGTGCTTAATAGTAGCTGCTTGTGAGTTCCTTTCCCTAATAACTAAATTACGTTACAAGTATAATGTAACAAGGGATCAACGTACTCCTTTTGTGGTTTAACTGAAACGTTTTAGTTAATTCTTTGATGAAAGAGGATTATCACATGGTTCAAATTTTGGTCAGCATTTCAGTTTATACGTCCGCCTTATGCAGAGATAAGAATGAGATTGATTGTTTGGTAGCAAAAGGCAGTGGCTTACAGCATTTGTATGTTTCCTTTTAAAGATGATGAAATCTAGTTAAAAGGCAACCAACTTCACTGAAGGCTTACATTTTAACTATAAATGTAACTAATTCCTTTTAAATGTTACTCTTCCAGCATGAAGGGTGTTTATAGATATTGTGAATGTTGAATTCTTTGCCTCATCACATCATGTGATAATGAATTACCAATCCTAATTATCCAGTATTGGGTCCAGACTCAGGCAAAGAAACTCACTGAAATTCTCATTTAGTCATTTAGTCACAACTAACTTAAGTTTTCACGTCATTTCACTGTGAACCCCCAAAACTCATGGAATTCTTTTTTGTGGATATCATTGTTTACGAGTTTGTAACTGCTGGTTAACTAATTCCGCCTCTTTGCCTTCTGCTGCCCCTCAGTCTCTCTTTCGAAGTTCTGCTGACAACCCCAGCCTTCCACACCTTCCCACCATGAAATCTCAGCCAGATTTTAAACCCCTTTCATATAAACCAAAGTCAATAGCACAAGCCCTTCCCTCCCTTGGTGGAAGGTGGGGAAAGGAGCTAAGGAGTAGCATTGTGTTGGCAGGAGAGGGTACAGAGAAGAGCAAATGAGTGGGTTGAGGAGGTGGATCATGACTTGGAAATGTGGCTGGGAAATATTGTTGGAAAGCAGGAAGGAAGTTGAAGGGTGAAGAAGAGAAAGAGGAGCAGAAGCAGTGAGAAAGTGGATCAGCTGAGAAGGGATTGAAAATGTGCCTTGGGCTTGAGGAAAAAGGAGGAGATGGGCTGTGGCTGTTGACTAGAAGGGACCTTTGATGTGTTGAACCACACATCCCTATTCATTTCATTAGAGGACCCCCAAGAATTAATCCTTTTAACTGTGATCCTTCTCCCAAATTCTGCTATCAGATCCTGACTCACTTCTCTTTCTCTTTGTTTCTTATTCCCAGTTTCTAAAGACCTGAGTGCTCACCCTGCTGTTCACTGAAGCATGAGCATTGGACATGGCCATCCGCCGCTGCACTCGCAAGCCTTTGCTGGCACCTGGAATCTCTAGAATGGTTTGGAAGCATCTCATCCTCTTCTTCCTTTGGCTGCCACCGCTTGTTTTGGGTGGAGCCTCCCCAACCTCTTGCCCAGCTGCTTGTTCCTGCAGCAATCAAGCCAGCCGGGTCATCTGTACACGCCGGGAACTGGTGGAAGTGCCGGAGAGCATTTCTATCAACACACGGTACCTCAACTTGCAGGAGAACAATATCCAGGTCATCAAGACAGACACTTTCAAGCACCTTCGTCATCTTGAAATTTTGCAGCTCAGCAAGAACCTTATCCGTAAGATTGAGGTTGGCGCCTTCAATGGCTTGCCCAATCTCAACACGCTGGAGCTCTTTGACAACCGGCTGACCACTGTCCCCACACAGGCCTTTGAGTACCTCTCCAAGTTGCGGGAGCTGTGGCTGAGGAATAACCCAATTGAAAGCATCCCTTCTTATGCCTTCAACAGAGTCCCTTCCTTGCGCCGCCTGGATCTTGGAGAGCTCAAGAAGCTGGAGTACATCTCAGAGGCAGCCTTTGAAGGCTTGGTCAACCTGCGCTACCTGAACTTGGGCATGTGCAACCTTAAGGACATCCCAAATTTGACGGCCTTAGTAAGGCTGGAGGAGCTGGAGCTGTCTGGGAATCGCCTGGACATGATCCGGCCAGGCTCTTTCCAAGGACTAACCAGCCTTCGTAAATTATGGTTGATGCATGCCCAGGTGGCCACCATTGAACGCAATGCCTTCGATGACCTCAAGTCTTTGGAGGAGCTCAATCTCTCCCACAATAATTTGATGTCTTTGCCACATGATCTCTTCACCCCTTTACACCGCCTGGAGCGTGTCCACCTCAACCATAACCCTTGGCATTGCAATTGCGATGTGCTGTGGCTCAGTTGGTGGCTCAAGGAGACAGTGCCCAACAACACCACCTGCTGCGCCCGGTGCCATGCCCCGCCAAACCTCAAAGGGCGGTATATTGGAGAGCTGGATCAAAGCCATTTCACTTGCTATGCCCCAGTTATAGTAGAGCCTCCCACTGACCTTAATGTGACTGAGGGGATGGCGGCTGAGCTGAAATGCCGGACAGGGACCTCCATGACATCAGTCAATTGGCTGACGCCAAATGGAACGCTGATGACTCACGGTTCCTATCGGGTCCGCATCTCTGTCCTCCATGATGGCACGCTCAACTTTACCAATGTTACTGTCCAGGACACAGGACAATACACCTGCATGGTGACCAATTCAGCTGGCAACACGACTGCTTCAGCTACGCTCAATGTCTCAGCTGTGGATCCAGCCACCACAGGGTACACATACTTTACCACAGTGACTGTGGAAACCATGGATTCAAGTCCAGAAGAATCTGTTCCCACCAAGAAAGAACCTGGGCCAACCCCATCGCAAGGTTGGGGCATGACCTACTCCACCACTTCGCTAACCCCACGCAGTACCCGTAGCACCGAGAAACCATTCACCATCCCAATCACTGATGTAACTGAGAGTGGCATGAAAGACTTGGACGACGTCATGAAAACCACCAAGATCATCATTGGCTGCTTTGTGGCCATCACCTTCATGGCTGCCGTGATGCTGATTGTTTTCTACAAGCTCCGAAAACAGCACCAGCTGCACAAGCACCATGGGCCCACGCGGACCATTGAGATCATCAATGTGGAGGATGAGCTGCCTGCCGCAGCTGGGGGGCCTGGCGACAGCCACTTGGCCCTTCCTGCCATCGAGCATGACCACCTCAATCACTATGCTGCTTTCAAGGCCCACTACAACAACAACAGTGGTGGTGGGCCACTCACCTGTGGCTCCAAGAACCCCATGCTCAATTCCATCCATGAACCTCTCTTGTTCAAGAGCAGCTCGAAAGAGAATGTCCAAGAGACACAGATATGACGACCAACAGACCCAGGCAACGGGGAATACTTACATGGTGGGAGGGTGGTGGTGAATCCGTCCATGCAGTGGCGGAAATGTTGAGGAAAAGCTCCTCCTTCCCCAGCCACTTCCCCACACAAAAAAACAGATCTTTCCACCACCATGGCAGATCTTGGATGCTAAGCCCCTAGCAGACACCTTTGGTTTTCACCGACTTAGCCTTTTACGTTCTCTTCATTTTCTTTTGCAGAAGAAGGTACTACTTTGGCCCTCTGCCTGACCTCCCCCCCCCCCTTTTTCTTTCTTTCGTTCTTCCACTCCCTTTTCTTTTTCTTATTTTTCTACTGTTCTACCTTTACGTTGGAGACTTTTTTTTATACAGATGGGGCTGTTTCTGTATCCAACTACCTGCTATATTACTTTTAAAAAAAAGAAAGAAAAGAAAAGAAACAAAACGAGAACCACAAGAAAAGAAGGAGCACTCTGCTACGTTTTCCTTTTGACGTCATGGGAATAAACTATAGGAAGAATTTTCAAAAAAAGAAACCCAAGCGAAATGGGAGGAGAGGAGGGGGAGAAAAAAAATCTTATTTTGAGCCGCTTTCCGTCAAAATTCTATTTTCATCCAAATGGGATATACAAAATAAATAAATGAAATAAAGAGACGGAAGGTCATGGTGGTGCCCAGGTTCCTCCCCCTTGGAGCACGTGGGGATGCCAAGCGCACAGGGTTTGGGGGAATTTTTTATGACTAGTATTATTACTATGGGATGGCAGGCATGGCCAGTGTGGCCCCCAGAGACACAGGGGTGTGGAGGTATTTTTTAATTTGTAATAATCTGGGGGTGGGAATGCGGGGTTTGGTGGGGACTCCACTTCCGGCCACAAAAAAGGGGGGCCTGTTGATTCCCTTGGCATTTTGGGGTCTGGTCTGAGTTTCCTATTTTAATAAAATCCATAAAGATGTTTCCAACCCTCCTTAGGGTGGTTCTTTGAGGGGCAGGTGGGTGGGTGGGTGGGTGGGTGGGCGGGAATAATGAGGGTCAGGCTGTTGTTGGGTGTGTATTCTCATTTGTGTGAGATGCGTCAAGGAATGGCCATGATTGCATTAATCATGTCAATTAGGCTCGACAGAGCCATTGCAGTGTTGGTGGTTTGTGTTACAACTCTGGGCGAGCAACGTTGCAATCACCATTCAACTATGTAAACCCACAGGGTGATCTTGGGCAAGTTATACTCTCTCAACCTCAGAGGAAGGCAAAGGCAAACTCCCCGCCTGAAGTCCTGCAGAAAATACTCTACAGTAGAGTCACCGTGTATTGGAAATTGAGATGTAGGCATACAGCAACAATGTGCATGACAGTGCTTACTATTTTGAAAAGTATGCAAGCAATCACACACAGCTGTACCTTACATAGAACTATGGGATGAAGTTGAAGTCTGGGGGTGTGTGAGGAGTTGGCATTTATGCTGTCACATTATCAAACACGTGTGTCATTCTCCCCACTCGCCCAATACTTATAGCCTCCAAGTCATTACAATAGGCAGTTTAATCAGACATGACAGGGAATAATAGTCTGGAGAACAACAGTATTGGGTTTGCAATATGGCCTTTTTGAGTGATCCCGAAGTAACATTCTAAAATCTGTTTATTTTCTTTTAAAAACACAATTTCTACCATTTATTTAGCTGTTTTATAGATCAGGAAAAAGCAGAGAGATGAGCCCCCCATATGTTTTGGACTACGGTTCTTCTAATTCCTGGCCTTCAGTCATATATCCTGGGGTTTATGGGAGTTGAAATAAAAAAAAATCAAGTTCCCTCGCGCTGTCATTGAACACAACACAAACAGATGGTTGGGAAACTTTCCAGGCAGCTGGAGAGACTCTGTAGGATCTGCTTCAACTGCTTGTCTTAATGCATCCCATGACTGGGAAATCCCTACAGATGGTATTTCCCAACTCTCCAGTTAACAGCACCTCAGAAACTCTTTAGTTGAGATGCTGTCAAGCTGGCAAGTTAGGTTTATGAGTCATTGTTTGGACAATAATGTTCATTTACGTGAATGCCCGGTAGTTACAAATAAGTCCAACTTACTGTGTTGCCACTGACCATGATGCCAACCAGGATGTCATTTCCAAAATAATATGTTTAAGAAGAGGGGTACAGGAGGATCTAGTGCAGTGGTTCTCAACCTGTGGGTCCCCAGATGTTTTGGCCTTCAACTCCCAGAAATCCTAACAGCTGGTAAACTGCCTGGGATTTCTGGTAGTTGTAGGCCAAAAAACCTGGGGACCCACAGGTTGAGAACCACTGATCTAGTGGATCTGGGATCTGGTGGGATGGATGAGCTCCTGGGCCTCGGGGAAGTTGCACATCCCTGCCTTAAGTAATTCCAAGTGCTACTATTGATGGAATATTCCTTAAATATTATTAAAATAGATGTTAGTTATGGAAATTTTTTAGTGAGCCACCTAACACCGAATGTTTTTGTCACTTCTACCGATCATGTTTTTATGGTTTCTGGTGTTAAAAACCAAGGGATTGGTTCGGCTGATTGAAGCCATACACATGGACATTACAGCTGGGCTTCTTAGATGTTATCATAATCAATAGCTGAAGTTGTGATTGTTGCATCTCTCATGTGTTTTTGCCACAGTACTTCTAAAGATGGTTGGAATGGTCAATCCAGAATGTAAGGACTATCCACGTATAAAAAAAGACTCTTCGCTTTGTGTTTTTGAGGGCCCTTCCACACAACCATATAACCCAGAATATCAAGGCAAAAAATCCCACATTATCTGAGTGTGGACACAGATAACCCAGTTCAAAGCAGATATTGTGGGATATTCTGCCTTGATATTCTGGGATGTAAGGCTGTGTGGGTGGGCTCTGAGTCCACACTACCATATATCCCAGTTCAAAGCAGATAATATGGGATTTTATTCAGCTGTGAGGAAGGAGCTGGAGAGGAAAACTATAGCCAGAATCTTGCTAGGAAGTTCTGTCTGTTTAGTTGACTTATGTTTGTCAGAATTAGAGTTGAGAAGTTCCATAATGTTAATATTCAGTAAAGGGTTTCTCTTATGTTACTACATACGTAGCAATTCCTAATTTATTTGAACACCATGTTCAAACTCCATGCCATGTCACACTGAACAGGGACACTGCATGAAAACTGAGAGAACAGCAATTGTGACTTGGCTCCGTCAACTATTAATGTATTTTTGAGTGGGGGAAAAGAAGGCACTGAGTGGATAAATATAAAATGGGAACTAGCTTGCTAAGAGACAGATTATTTTTATGGTACAAACTGGTGGGGTTCCCAATAGATAAGAGAACAGTACATGAATCAACAATGCGGAATTATGGGCCAAAGGAAGATGGCTGGGATGAAAGAAAGCATTGTCTCCAAAGCTTGGGTAATTAATACAGCAGTTGCACAGATGCAGTGAGATCACAGTGAAATTCCCAAAAAATGCTGGAACCAGAGCCAATAAATTGAGGAGGATCCTGGGAGTTGTAGTCCGATAGATAGATAGATAGATAGATAGATAGATAGATAGATAGATAGATCGATCGATCGATCGATCGATCGATCGATCGATCGATAGATAGATATGGATAGTATAGGGAAGAGTTACCACCTCTATAGAGTTTGTTTTGCTGCATGTGCCCCTGTTCAGAAGATTTCACCTTACTTTCTGTCCCTGTGATAATAGGATTTTGAAAAACGTGGTTGTTGTGGAAACAAGGATTGGTGAGAAATCTTCAGTGGAAACACCTTTTCCCCATCGTAACTCTTTCCGGGGTCAATTTCCCTTCTGAGGGGTAGATTCCTCTCACTTCCTGTTGTTTCACCYCATTCTTAAGTATGAGTTGTTTGTCAGTTGGATGTTTGTAACTAGAGGTCTGTCTTCTTTGGTAGGATATTTCCAGTTGGGAAATTTCCTTCTCAAACTAAAACATGTCATTCTCCCAGTTCCTGTTTTTTCTTTCTAATATTCCAGTGGGTTAAACTGCTGAACTTGCYKATCGAAAGGTCGCATGARGAGCGGCATGAGCTCCCACTGTTAGCCCCAGCTTCTGCCAACCTAGCAGTTCRAAAACATGCAAATGTGAGTAGATCAATAGGTACTGCTCCAGCGGGAAGTTAACGGCGCTCCATGCAGTCATTCCGGCCACATGACCTTGGAGATGTCTATGGGCAGGGAGACAAAAGTTTTACATTTACCTAATATTCCACATTCTGAGATGCTCAATGTTCATGGAACTATTTGGAAGGAAACCTAGTCTATCTTCTTTTGGGTACTTTTACAAACCTCGGGTTCTTCTAGGCATAATGATTCACATTCTCTATATCCTGCAGTGTTTCACAGATGAAAACTGGGATTGTGTGGCCAAGCAACATCAGAGTGTGGTCACGATGTTGAAAATCATTAAAGAACACAGAAGTTCAGAGATTGCAGCAATTTTCTTTTGCCAAAATCTATTTGGAAGGGCAAGATTCTGCCCCCTCCTGTCCTCTTTCCCAGTTAATTGAGTGCAAACTCCTTTTTCTTACTTGGCAAACAGTGTGCAGCAACTGAACTTTGATGAAAATGAGGGAGGGATGTGAGAAGAGGAGAGAGAAACCGGGACATTTTAAAAGCAGCCGAAAAAGTGGGATTGAGGACCCATCTACACTGCCATATAAGATCCAGATTATCTGCTTTGAACTGGATTATATGGAAGTGTAGATCATTTGAATCAATCTGGACAGTTCCTGCCAAAGCAGGACAGTTGGAGGCTGGACCATAGCCAGAAAACAATTGGGGGGCAGGGGTGTGAAACTTTATTTTAGAAAATCATGAGTAGTTCCATAACACAAAATAATGTAAATAGTATAAGGCAGGTGTCCACAAACTTTTTAAACAGAGGGCCAGGTCACAGACCCTCAAACTATTGGAGGGCCGAATTATAATTTGAATAAAACATGAATGAATTCCTATGCACACTACACATGTCTTATTTGTAGTGCAAAAAACACCTAAAAACAATATAGTAATTAACATGATGAACAATTTTAACAAATATAAACTTTTAAGTATATCAATGGGGAAGTGTGAGCCTGCTTTTG